GCTTTTCTTCCCCATATTTTGAATAGCTGTGCAATTGCTCTCTTTCATTGCTGAATGCTGGTATTTTGGATTTTCAAAGTTAAAAAAAGAGAGCATATGTATAGTTTCTCTTTTCTTTTAATAAAATTTGATTTTATTTATCTCTGATGAGTCGGTTTGTCTTCTCAAATGGTGAAGAAAGGTTAGCAACAGAAACTTTGTGGTCGTAAATCGAGAACTATCTATACTAAGCTAGTAGTACAAAGTAGGCCACGGGGTTGAAATGTTAAGATCAACTGGACTTCATTTTAGTTCAGTTCCCTACCTTCCATTGATCTTGCATTAAATAATGAATATATAATTCTGTACTTACTTGGGAGTTTTGTTTACTCGTATGTTTGGGGTTAAGAGCCAGATTTGGGCAATGGCTAAGGCATCAGGCTAGAAACCATCAATTCTAATCCCACTTTAGGCACAAAGCCAGCTGGGTTTTATCTCAGCCGTAGAAAGCAAGCCATTCCTGAAAAACCTTGCCAAGAAAATGGCAGGGACTAGTTCAGGCCATCTTCAAGAATCAGACTCGATTGAACGGAAGAAAAATAAATGTTCAGCGTATCTGCAGGTCACTAATTAGATGGCAGCATTGATCAGGACAACCCAGCAATGTTCTGTAGTCATGGGAAGAAGGCAGATTAAAAGACCGGAAGTGGAATCAGCAGCACAAGAGTGAGTGGGTGCTAATGGGCAAACATTTGTGGATCAGAGAGTGAAGTGATAGTAATCCCGTCCACTACAAAAGATAATCTTATATCCAGGACAAGTGCATTAACTCAATCCTGAGTCAGTCAGATAAGCCAGGCCTTGCAAGTCATCTCACCTGTCATTTCCCATGGAAGAGGTATTTAATACCGAATGTTTTCCATTTGGCACCATGTCTATCATCTCTGTCTGGATGGGGATTTCCATAGAATTCATTTCTTCCTTTTGAAGTCAGTAGCTTCACTTCTCTGGCAAACAGTTTTCAAACAGGCAGCAGATGCTGGGCTACTGAGAGGTCCTGTATCAGCAAGAGAGAGGAAAAAAAAAAAAGAGAGAGAGAGAGAGATCAGTTTGGGGAAGATATACAGATAGTGCCATACAACAGCCCTCATCATTAATGATCATTAACACTTAATGATGACTATATTAAGTGTTGTACCTTATGATTCTTGATGAACGTATCTTTTCTTTTATGTACACTGAGAGCGTACGCACCAAGACAAATTCCTTGTGTGTCCAATCACACTTGGCCAATAAAAAATTCTATTCTATTCTATTCTATTCTATTCTATTCTATGCTATGCTATGCTATGCTATGCTATGCTATGCTATGCTATGCTATGCTATGCTATGCATGCTATGCTATGCTATGCTATGCTATGCTATGCTATGCTATGCTATCATTTTGGCATGTCCTTACTCTGTTGGGACATCATCCTAGAGTTCCTTGCCAGTGTTGGACATGTCTACCTGAAAGGTATTCAATAGAATAAGACTGGTTAATACATTTTTGTATGATGGACTTGCATATAATATTTCATGTCTCTTAGCCAAAGGAATATGAACTACAATTATTCTATAATGAGAACTATATCACATACAGTCCTCTGCTGGACCTATTCTCCAATGTTTCTGCTAAATTGAGAACACCATGAAGTGAGACAAGATGAGTTTCTATCTGATGAGTCCTAAACTACTCAGCAATGTTCAACTATTTCCAGATGACTTTGCTGTCACAACTCTGGTATATTGTACCAGTCAGTATCCCACTCATCTACTTGCTGGTGTATCTCTTTAAATATGAATTTTATTAGAGATTTTTAGAGAAATAAGACATGGCATTATATAAAGAAAAGTTAAGAAAAAGGGAGAAGATAAAAAGTGTGGAAAGCAATATACATAGAAAAAGAAAATCAAAAAGAGACCTTGAATCTTCTTTGTAGCAGTTATAAACACAGTCAATACCCTTCCTCCCTCTGTAAAATTACTTTACGTAGTTTCCTTCTATCCCATATTCAACCCTTTTTAATTAACACATCTAGAAATCACTATTCACTTCATTAAGAGTATTATTAGAAAGGGTGAGAAAGAAAGATACCACAAAAAAGAGTGGGTCAACCTAATTTCCAAAGCACCAGGAGGCAAGACAAGAAACAATGGATGGAAACTAATCAAGGAGAGAAGCAACCTGGCATTAAGGAGAAACTTCCTAACAGTGAGGACAATTAAACAGTGGAACAGTTTGCCTCCAGAAGTTGTAGGGCCTTCATCACTGGAGGTTTTTAAGAAAAGCCACCTATCTGAAATGGTATAGGGTCACCTGCTTGACCAAGGGGTTGGACTAGAAGACCTCCAAGGTCCCTTCCAGCTCTATTGTGATTGATTGGTAGCATGAATAGATAATGTGATCAATGCTCTTCAACTACACTGTAGATTAAAGGAAGTCCAAATGTTTTTTTTTTTTTTAGTGGAACAGAAGATAAACCTTATTTATTTATTCAGCACTGTCAATCGTTAACTTACAATCCTCAATGTCATCCTTTGATATTTAACATCAAAAAGCTACTAACAATAAGCAAAATACTACTCTATATTTTTCATGAAGCCAAGTTCATGATTTAGTTCACTATTTTAGAAATTCAGCAAAGTGACAAGTTATTGTTTCCAGGCATTTCCTTTTCTATGGCATTTCAGGTCACAGGACCCACTGGTTAAAAAAAGACTGTGGCAAAGAGAAAAGGAACAGACAAGCACAGAAAATGATTATGGAACACCGGTATCACATTTAGACATTTTCTTTAGAAAATTTGAGCAGCAATTCAATTCTTCTACTGATGAGTAAATTCCAACAAATGTTATTGAAAGTATTTCTAAATAGACATTCATAGGATTGGAATCCACTGGAAAGATTACAACTGGGGAAATTTGCCCAATAATAAATAAATAAATGAAAACTTCACTGTGAAGTCACATGCATAGACAGGTAGTTCTCAACTTATGACCATAATTGAGCCCAAAATTTCTGTTGTTAAGTGAGACATTTGTTAAGCGAGTTTTGCCCCATTTTACGACTGTTCTTGCCACAGTTGTTTAGTGAATCACTGAAGTTAAGTTAGTAACCTGGCTATTAAGTGAATTGAGCTTCCCCATTGACTTTGCTTGTCAAAAGGTCGCAAAAGGGGATCGCAGGACCCTGGGACACAGCAACAGTCATAAATGTGAACCAGTTGCCAAGCATCTGAATTTTTGATCACATGACCACAGGGATGCTGCAAAGGTTGTAACTGTGAAAAACAGTCATAAGCCACATTTTTCAGTGCCATTGCAACTTTGAATGAACTGTTGCAAGATGGGGATTAAGAATTTCCTTTTCCGATTACTACAGAATTCCATTTTTTTTTTTTTTTTGTGAAAAGGGTTATAAATTCAAACAGTGCTTCACACATTTTCTGTGCCTAACTATCAGGCAGCAGCACTACCATGGCAATAAAACAAAGTGTCTAGCTGTTTGGATTACTGATTTCCTGCTCCAGAGATTCGAGCACCCTCCTTCCCAACATAGACAATCAATGTTGATGAATAGGGACAGGTTCAACATTTTCTGGGCTTTGCTTAGCTATATATTGACGTTTTCAGTATGTGCCATTCCTCCACCTCACCCCCAAATTACACAGAGGGAGGGAGGGAGAGGGAGAAAGAGAGAGAGACTGTAAATATGTTGCTTTGCATATCTTCAGTGGACAATAGGATCCTGAATAAAGAGAGAAAGCTCCAACTTGAAATCAGCAGTTGGAAGATGACATTAGCATCAGCCTTGGGAATGTCAAGTAACTACATCTACCTTGGACCATGGGTTAATCTAAAGTCACAGCAGGCCAAATCTAGACAGCCTTTGAGCTTACATCCACTAGTAATTAAAAGACAACCACTTCCCAGTCTCTTGCAAGCTATGCTAATGTTTAGTTACTCTCATAGTAAAGGAATGTGTCTTATTTCTTAGGTACATTCGAGTAGCTTTAATTTCCAAGCCCTTTGGTATCGCTATTGTCATTTCCCATAAACAGCCCTTTTGCTTTGCTCACCATAACCAAGTTATTCCTTAAGTCTCTTTTTAGATGCTAAACAGGATGAGTGCTTTAAATCTCTGGCTGTAAGCAGGGCTGCCTCTGTCCCTTTCAAGTGCACAGTTGCATTTGGACCAGAATTGAGAAAAGTACTTGGCATGCTGTACAGGCAGTATCCCGGCTCTGTGCATGAGCAGAAGAAAGTGAGAAGAGCAACAGCAAAGACGGCTGCAGCAGGAAGAGAAGAAGGCTGTTAGGGAAATGGGCTAAATTTAATGCAATGGGGCACAGAAGGCCCGCAACTAAATCGGGGGGGGGAAGGAAAGCAATTACGGGTAGTCCTCAGCTTACAACAGTTCATTTAGTGACCAAGTTACAACAGCAATGAAAAAAGTGACTTTTTTCACACTTATGACCGTTGTAGCATCCCCCCATGGTCATGTGATCAAAATTTAGATATCTGGCAACAGACTCACATTTATGATGCTTGCAGTGTGCCGGGGTCATGTGTTCACTTTTTGCGACCTTCTGACAAGTAAAGTCAATGGGAAAACCAGATTCACTTAAGCAACCGTGTTACTAATTTAACAACTGCAGTGATTCATTTAACAACTGTGGCAAGAAAGGTCGTGAAATGGGGCAAAATTCACTTAACAAATATTTCACTTAGCAACAAAAATTTTGGGCTCAATTGTGGTCGTAAGTCAAGGACTATCTGTACAAAAGGAATCCCGTCTTCTCTTTCCTAATAAGCAGACTATTGGGCACAAATTTGGAAGATTCCAATTATGGATGGAAAATGGCATCATCTACTTTTTTGCAGGAAAACTGTTAAGCACTGCTAGTTCAGACAAGATTCTGTATTTTATTTTGCTTACTGGAATAACCCAGCATTCTTTTTTTTTTTTTTTTTTACAGTTTACCAATTCTTCATAAATTCTAAAACTTAACCTCCAGGAAAAATATCTGAACTGCTGCTAAGAGCAGAGAGTTGATAATACCAACTGTGCTGCATTGACAAGAAAAATATTGAGGGAAAAACAATTAGGTAAGGAACTTGGCAGGGAGAGTGTGGTTCTTCTCATTTATTCAGTTGCTGAACTTTTCTAGGCCAGTATTTTTTTTTAAAGGCCACAAGGCTGTAACTAGAAGGGAAATTAATAATCTCACTTCATCAGTAAGCAAAATGAGTGTCTCTTCTTAACATCCACAAACTCTGCTCCAAGAGTTCTCATATTCTCACAGGAACAAAGGTTTAGCCCACCTGGGGCTGGCCGTCAGCTTATGAAAGGACTGAAGTCTGAGAGGAGCGTCAGAGGGACTGGAGGCAAATCTCTGGCAGGCTACTTTGCCAGGTTTGGAAAACCCTCAGCCTCAGACATGCTGGCAGGCGACACAAAGCACCTTCTGTTGGGCTTCCTGGTTCTACTTAGCGGATAGTTGGAAAGTGGTTTCCAAAACAGAGCAACTTTAGAGGCAGTTGGCGCCCCAAGGAAAGAGAAGGACTACATCCCAGCTTCTCTGTGCCACCAGCTCCTTTTGACTGTCTTTCCCCTGCTAGCTCAGGAAAGTGTGTTGTGCTGTTGTTTCTAAAATAATATGTTAGTATTCCATAAACTGCAGTTGATATGATGAGAACCAATAATTTATTCTATTTCCAGTCTTCCTCTCCATATCTTATATGCATCTCAGTGCTCACCTGGGAAAACCCCTTTCTCCACAGCAATAGCAATAGCACTTAGACTTCTATACCGCTTCACAGCGCTTTACAGCCCTCTCTAAGCAGTTTACAGAGTCAGCCTATTGCCCCCAACAATCTGGGTCCTCCTTTAACCCACCTCGGAAGGATGGAAGCCTGAGTCAACCTTGAGCCTGGTGAGATTCGAACTGCCAAATTGCAGGCAGCCGGCAGTCAGCCGGCAGTCCTGCACTGTAACCACTGCGGCACTGTGGCTCACCATTGCTTTACCATTCTTACTCTTCTTTATTTATTTAAAGAACTCATATTGCTGCTTAAAACAGACACTGGTCCCTATGGGGCTCAAAGCAAACCTAACTAGCAAAATCTCAGGTGGAAAACTATACCAAAAGGTCAGAGTTGAGAAGGAATGCCTTCCAGGTCTCAATAGGTAACAAATTTGAAGAAAGGGGGTGCCCTTACCCTATCTAACCCAGTGAGACGGACAGATACCCTCAAACAAATAACCTATTGCTGTGTTGTGTAGAGCTTTGAGAGGAGTGAAAACCAGCACTTTGAACCGGCGCTCCCAGAAAGCAACTGAAAGCCAGTGGAGCTTGTGTAACAACAACAGTATAACAAGTAACAAACCACAGCATGCTCTAAATTAGTTGCAGCTTCTGGCTGGTCTTCTTCAAGGATAGCCCCGTGCAGTGTGCCTTCATTCCAATTGTTAAGTGACTAAGATGGGAATGACTACGAAAAAGGCCTCTGGTCATTCTGTAAAATATGAGAACTAAATTTTTCTTCCCATTATCAATTTTGTGGTTTTTCATGGATATATATGCCACCCGCACACCTTTTTTTTTTTGCAACTCTATCAATTTTGATCGAAGTTGAGTCACACAGGTGGACCCAGCACAAAAGGCATAGAGACATATCACAGCCACACAAATGTGAGGTGATTCTCAGCAAAAGAATTTTTACAATTTTTCTTCAAGCATAATTTATTATTATTTTTCTTATATGAAAAAAATATGAAAAACGAATGGCAGAGAACAGAAGGTTTTATGTAGAGTATCTCATAGCTTGAGGCTTTATGCTTAGTGATCATTTTTTTGTTAAAAGGGGCAAGTTTTGCCCCTACTCTCAACAATCCACCAGTTGCAGCCACTTACTTGAGAATGTTATCTGGGAGGAGTTTGATCCTGTGACTCCCGAGGATGTGGACAGGGTTCTGGGTAAGATTTGTGCCGCCACGTGTTTATTGGACTCGTGTCCCTCCTGGTTGGTACTGGCCTCCCGGGAGGTTACACGAGGCTGGCTCCAGGGAATTATAAGTGCTTCTCTGAGTGAGGGTGCCTTTCCTGCCGCCTTGAAAGAGGCGGTAGTGAGGCCCCTCCTCAAGAAGCCTTCTCTGGACCCGGCTGAATTAGCCAACTATCGTCCAGTCTCCAACCTTCGTTTTGTAGCGAAGGTTGTTGAGAGCGTGGTGGCACGACAACTTCCCCGGCACCTGGATGAAGCTATCTATCTAGACCCGTGCCAGTCGGGCTTCAGGCAGGGTACAGCACAGAAACGGCATTGGTCGTGTTGGTGGATGATCTCTGGAGGGCTCGGGACAGGGGTTGTTCCTCTGTCCTAGTCCTATTAGATCTCTCAGCGGCTTTTGATACCATCGACCATGGTATCATGCTGCAGCGGTTGAGGGGGTTAGGAATAGGGGGCACCGTTTTGCGGTGGTTCTCCTCCTTCCTCTCTGACCGCTCGCAGTTTGTGTTGGCAGGGGGGCAGAGGTCGACCTCGAGGCATCTCGCATGGGGAGTGCCGCAAGGCCCAGGGGGAGGGCCTTCTCTGTGGGAGCCCCAGCCCTGTGGAATGAACTGCCCCCGGAAATACGTAAGATCTCCGACCTCCGGGTGTTTCGCTGCGCACTGAAGACCCTGTTGTTCCGCCAGGCTGGCCTATCAACATAATAATTTTAAATTGGGGTATTTTAAAATTCTGGGGTTTTAAATTGAGCTAACTCTATTTAATCATTTTAATTTTTAATTGCTGTTTTGTCTTGTGTTTTTAAATAGGCTGTACACCGCCCTGAGTCCTTCGGGAGAAGGGTGGTATAGAAATAAAATTATTATTATTATTATTATTATTATTATTATTATTATTATTATTATTTATTAATTATTATTATTATTATTATTATTATTATTATTATTATTATTATTATTTGTCTTTCGGCATTTAATCCGAATTAAGAAAAATAAGCTAAGTTTTCTCTGCAGAGGTCCCATTTGTCAAGCTGAACCAAAGAGTTAATCAAAAATTGTTCCTCATCAAAATGAGAATTTCACTTTTTTGTAATGAACGTATTTGTCACTATCATAAATAAATTTCCTGAGATGGTCCACATTTTTGTGAACTCATCTTCTCTCATAGTGAATTTTCCTTATCGGTCGTTGCTTCATCTCTTCAACTGCATAAATTTACAGTCACTATGACCTGAGAGCTGCTTTTTTTTTATGTGAAGTCATACATTTTTAATTTAACAAGACACCAAGAAAAAGCCCCAGGTATAAACAAATCTATTCCTATAAATCATGTTCACAACACTTTGAAAATTCCTGTTATTAAACTTGCTATTATTTAAAAATAAAACTCAAATAGTAGGAAATATAACACATATCCAATGGCAAATCATCCTCCCCCTCCCAACGATAGATTCTTAACAGCCCAGGATGGCAGTGGCTATGGTTACGCAAGTGCTTTCAGGCCTCAAGAGAAGTGCTTTTGATTGTCATCAAAGTGTTTCAGAAAAGCTCTGTCTTTAGCAAGTCAGTAAAATATCCAGTTACATGATATCTGGCAAAATCTTCCAAAGACTGAAAGCCACTTCAAAAACCCAGAAGTACAACTGGAGACATTCAGCATGCACCCAGTTTTTACCACTTGCCCCCAAAAGCATCTTCCTTATAGTTCTCAGAACAAAGGATGTAACAAAGAGGGTATAAGAAACGTGTAGGACTCATAGCAGAGATTGTAATGTAGATTTTAGCATGTAGAAACTCTAGCACTTTCATGGATTCAACCAAAAGCCTGCATCTGGTATGTAGACAACATCGGTAGACAAAAATGGAACAACTGGAGAAGACACATGAAATAATCAACAACATCTTCATAGGAATAAAACTCACAAGGGAAGAAAAACAACAACACACTATGCTTTCTAGTTATTCTCATCACCAGAGGAAATGGTGGCAAATTGGAAACACAAATCTATCGCTAAACCATTCGCACTAACCAAGTGCTTCACTATCAAACAACAACCCAACCTCCCACAAGAGAAGCTGTGTAAGAAAGAACATTATTCAGACAAGCACAAAAGCACTGGAGCAACCCAGAAGACTAGAAAAAGGAAACAGACCACATATACCTCTTCTAGCAAAATGGACACCTACACTTCTTTATCAAAAAGTGCTTGATCATTCAACCCACTACAACACAACAAACACAAACTAAGGAATTAGAAGACACAATGAAAACTCCTTAACATATGGAAAGACTTAACCATAATTTCAACTGGGGAACTGTCAGCATTAATAAACCAAGCTAAATCCAAAAATGATAGGGAATTCCTAGAAGCACAACACTCAGACAAATCAGTCATCACCAGGCACATAAATGACATTTACACATCATTCAAAAGAGACAATATAAAAGCTAAAAGGGAAACAAAAAGACTAGAACACCCACTCACCAGCAATCAATAACTCAGATAAGCAGGGATCAACAGCAAGAGCAACACTAACAAACAAGCAGTAAAAAATACCCTAATCAAACAACTACCAACTCAGACAAAAATTCAAGCAACTTAATCAAGGAGCTGCTAAGGAGAAATCCATACCCTGCCAAACACTGGCAGGGCATCGCACTCCCTGCCAAAAGAGATGTTGTTATCTAGTCTGGTAAGGTAATGAAATGTCCAGAAGAAAATAAGATCAGAGAACACTAAGGATGTCACAGCTCAATCTTGAGCTACATAGCCTATTGGTACTTCCCTTACCCTACAAAAAGTAATGACTGTTGATCAGTTTAAGCAAATGAAGAGTAAGAAATGAAGAATTAAATTAAAAGAAGATGATGTGCAAGGATGGATAGGTTTAGAGAGGTATAGATTAGGTAATGATACCAATGTAAACCAAATCTAAGCAAATTGTGTTAATATTTCCTTTTCTTTTTCTTGTTATTTCCTGCTTTTAATTTCTTTTTCTTCCTCCTTTCTGTACTTTCTTAACATTGTTTATTGTTACTTTGTAACGGAATAGTATAATAGTATATATAATACTAATTACTAATATATAAACTAATTATAATAGTATAATTAGTTTATATCACACGCAGTGTATAGTATACTACACATATTACGTATATTATATCCAGCATCATTTACGTAAGATGTGTAGAAATTTAATAAAAATAAATAGAAAAATATGTGAATGTTTTTTAATCAAAATGACCAAAAACCAATGATTTGATCAAAATGACAGTTTGATTAATTTTATTTCAACCAAGAGAACAGCTTTAAGTCTTCTTCACTTCATTTGGGAGGTAAAAGGATAAAACTATTAGTTTGCCAAAATATTTCCAAACTGTATCTAACTTTTTTCTTTCTTATTCCCACAACAATAGATTTGATAAAAGTAACATAAATTGCAGTTTTGAAATCCAGGGTCAATGTCTAAAATAACTTAGCTGATACCATAATTGCATTCTCAGGGGTGGTGGCCACATGTGAGACCACAGAAGCTGAATGGGATTTAGGTAGATCTAAAAACTGTTCTTTATTGAAATCCAAGACTTTACTGTATTTGACTCAGAACTGCTTTAACTTAAGCCCCCTCATTTGCACAGATTTTTTTTCTTTTTTTAAAATCAAGTCTTTAGAAACCCACAGTATATGTCAAAAACAAATATAGCATCTGCTGTAAATTTACTGCTAACCTAAGATTGAATTAACTATCTCTTCTAAAACTCCAGGTCATCAAGTTCTTTGGCATTTGCTATAAGCCATGATGAGGTTGCACACTCTATGGCATCATAGTGCAAATTACATAGTTCATAACATTTGAATGATATTACTTTCTTCCTTCCAATAAATCCAAGTCTGGATGTAATGTAATATTGAACAGTTTCATCCAGACTTGCTTCTGACTCTTTGTGAGGAACTGGATATGTCTAGTATAATGAAGAGAAGAACTAGAGAGGACATGATAGTAGTCTTGTCAAGTGCAAGAAATCAGAACCAAGGTTGTTGAAATAGATACAAGTTTACTCCATGGTAGCTCCCTACAAGAATGTGAACTATTAACAGTCAAGACAAGTTGGCAATAGATAGGGTCAATGGATTTCAAGGAGGGCTGGACTTAGATCTCTTGTAGGCATGAAGGGCCACCAAACTGATGACATGTTTGACCCCACCCTCAGGCTCAACCTGGTCGTCTCCTCCAATATTTGATGGGTTGTCACATAGAAGAGTGCCTATTTTCCAAGGCACTTGATGGCAGGACAAGAAGTAACGGATGGAAAATATCAAGGAGAAATCCAACCTAGAACTATGGAGAAATTTCCTGACAGTAAGAACAATTATCAGTGAAACGGCTTGCCTCCAGAAATTGTGGGTGCTCCAACACTGGAGATTTTAAAGAAGAAATTGGACAGCCATTTGTATGGAATGGTATAGGGCAGTAATGGCTAACCTTTTTGCCATCGCGTGCCAAAAGTGGGGGGGGCACACATGCACATGCCCACACCCATAATTCTATGCGCCCTGCCTCCCCCCGCACATGTGTGCGTGACCCTCCCCCGCTCCCCCCGCTTTTGGCACGTGATGGCATGGTGGGCCCGGTAGGCCTGTTTTTTGCTCTCCCCAGGCTCCAGAGCCTCTCTATGAGCCTGGGGAGGACGAAAATGGCCTTCCACACCCGCCAGAGGCCCTCTGGAGGCCGAAAATGGCATGTTTGCCAACTTCCGGAAGTCCCACCAATATGGCTCGCATGCCCACCGATATGGCTCCGTGTGTCACACGTGCCATAGGTTCGCTATCATGGGTATAGGGTCTCCTGCTTGAGCAGGGAGTTGAAATAGAAGACTTGTAGTGTCCCTTCCAACTCGGTTATTCTGTTAAATCCATCCAAAGAAGATTTTAATAATGCTTTAAAGAAAGAGACAACATTACAAAATGGGAACTAACAGAGAAAATAGATTGTTTCAGTCCTTCTCAGTCTAAATTCATATCCAAAGTTGGCACAGATTTGGCCTTGGTTGCCCTAGTGGATAATCTGCACTGG